TCGGGGCTTGGGGCTGGGGGGCGGTCCTCGGGGTCAGAAACGCTTCACCACGGGACGACACGAGCTTCCGTGGGGATGGATGCAGAAATAATTATAGATATAGATATATATATATAAAAAATCATTTTTTATTGTTTTTTTTATATATATATGTATTTTAAGGAACACCCAGAGAAGGGGAGGCCGGGCTGCGGCAGGGCAGAGGAGCAGCCGTGCAAGCATCTCCAGGGTTTTGACCATTTTTGGTCCCTTTTTTCACACGGGAAGCAGCTCGGGTGTACCCCCCCACACTACACCCCCCAACTTCCTCCCCGTGCCAGATGTTGGCGTCCACATCTGGTGGGAGCACCCCAAAAAGATGAGGGAGAGGAGAGGGCGGTGGGGATCCCCCCCTCCCCTGGAGGAGCCCTGGAGTGATGGTGGTGTGTCTGTCCGTCCGTCCGTCCACACGGGACCCCAATGAGGAGCGAAACTTTTGGAAAAAGGGTTGGTTTTGTTTTTTTTTTCCTGTCGTTTTTTGACACCATCATTCTCTAGCTAATGGGCGGGTGGGTTACTCAGCAAAGAGCATCTGGGCGCTTCGAACAGCTGCAGCTACAAATATATAGATATATTTTTTTTTTCTCTTCTTTTAAACACAATGCATCGGTTTTTCTTAATATAGGGAGCACCCCAAAAAGATGAGGGAGAGGAGAGGGCGGTGGGGATCCCCCCCTCCCCTGGAGGAGCCCTGGAGTGATGGTGGTGTGTCTGTCCGTCCGTCCGTCCCTCTTAACTGCTGCTTTCTTCCTCTGTTTTATTGAGTTTCTTCAGCGTGTCCAGCAGTTTCTGTGGGGTGAGGATGTGCGTGGACCCTGCGGGGGGCAGAGGAAAGGGAAGGGGGGGGACGGGGGTGGCATCAGTGATGGCTTTGGGACACCCCCCCAACCCCTTTCTCTGTTGTACCCCAGCCACCGGCCCCCGCTGTCCCCCATTTCCCCCACCCTGCCCCGTTGAGGCCGGTGGAAATGCTTGCGAGAAAAATGGACGTCTATGGGGCGGGTGTGGGGTGAGGAAAAGGGGAAAGGAATGGAAAAGGAGGAGTGAAGGAGATGGATGGAGCTGGGAGGGTTGGGGGGGGGCCGAAGGGTGCCCCTGGCAGCAGGGTGGTGGCCAGCGGGGTGGCTCCTGGACCTGTTGGGGACGCAGGAGGTGGCACCTGAGGATGGAGGGACCTTCTGTGGGTCCCCAAGCTCCTCCCGGAGCATCGCTGGGTGAGGGAGGAGGGGGTTGGGAGGGGAATGGGAGGAAGAGGAGGAGGAAAAGGGCTCTCGCCGTCCGCTGTCCCTCGGTTGGTGGCCCCCCTGGCACGGGCCAGTGGCAGCTCCTGGCCACGCCGTGGCCTGCGGCCTGGCTCCTGCCCTCCAGGCCACCGTGCCACCCTCACAGCATCCCTGGCCCTGCGTGGGCCACCAACACAGCAATGGTGGCTCAAGGGGATGCCACGACGGGTCACACCAGCAAAGCCACCAGCAGCTAAAGCCCGGCACGGCCTTTGGGGGTCTGTGATGTCAGGGGGATCCTGCCCATCCAAGGGCACCAAGAGCAAACCTGAGCGTCCCCATCAACTCGGGATTTCATATGGTGGCCCCCCTGGCACGGGCCAGTGGCAGCTCCTGGCCACGCCGTGGCCTGCGGCCTGGCTCCTGCCCTCCAGGCCACCGTGCCACCCTCACAGCATCCCTGGCCCTGCGTGGGCCACCAACACAGCAATGGTGGCTCAAGGGGATGCCACGACGGGTCACACCAGCAAAGCCACCAGCAGCTAAAGCCCGGCACGGCCTTTGGGGGTCTGCGATGTCAGGGGGATCCTGCCCATCCAAGGGCACCAAGAGCAAACCTGAGCGTCCCCATCAACTCGGGATTTCATAGAACCATAAAATCACAGAATGGTTTGGGTTGGAAGGGACCTTCAAGATGATCCAGTGCCACCCCCTGCCCTGGGCAGGGACACCTCCCACCAGACCAGGTTGCTCCAAGCCCCCTCCAACCTGCCCTTGAACCCCTCCAGGGATGGGGCAGCCACAGCTTCTCGGGGCAACCTGGGCCAGGCTCTCACCACCCCCACAGCAAAGAAGTTCTTCCTGAGATCCCATCTCCATCTCCCCTCTTTCAGTGTCAAACCCTTCCCCCTCATCCTATGGCTCCCCTCTCTCATCAAGAGTCCCTCCCCATCTCTCCTGGAGCTCCTTTAGGAACTGGAAGGGGCTCTAAGGTCTCCCTGGAGTCTTCTCTCTTCAGCCCCATCACAACCTGGAATTGGGGGGGGGGGTCACAGCAGCACCCAGCCCGGGGGGACCAGAGGGGACACGCATGGGGTGTCTCTTCCCCATGTGCCCATCACTGCCCGCTCTCTCCTGGGCACTGAACCCCTGGTCCTCGCTGCAGGTGGCTTCATGGGGTGCTCTGTCCCCCTGCCCGGCCCTGGGACGCCTCTGCCAGGCAGGGAGGACCCCCGACCCGCCACCCCCGGCCCCTCCGACCCCGGCGAGGGGGGGGAACTCATGGCATGAAGGAGCCGGGCAGGTCCGGCCAAGAGACATGGCAGAAGGATGATGGAGCGGCGCTGGATGCTTTTCCACCTGGAAGGAGGAACCGCAAGCATTTTCTTATCGGAGACCCAAAACGGAAAGGAAACCCCAAAAAATCATAATTAAAGAAAGGAGGAACGGAAGAATCAAAGAAAACCCTTCGGGGAGGAAGAGTTTCTTTTTTTCGTTAGTAAGCTGCCTTTACTTGGTTTCTTTGGCTCACTCCATTGCTGGAGCCTGATCCTCAAATGATACCCTAGTGGAGTCCCTGAAGTCGGGGTGCCTCAGGTCCATGAGAAATTTGGTGGGAGTGAGAATGTGAGTAGAACCTGCGGGAGAACAGAGCGGGGCTGACGGCTGCGTCGAGATCCTCCCCCCCCACCACACCCCCCCGTTTTTTGGGGGCGAGGAAGGAACGTGGTTGCCACCCGGAGCATCGTAGGCGCATGCAAGGGATGGATGGTCCACGGAGAGACACGGGATGAGATGGACAAGAGGTGGGATGGAGCTGGATGGTGGTGGTGGGTCCAATGGGGGGGACACACACACACAGCTGGGGGCTGTGGGAGATGATGGAAAGGGGGGGTTTCTGCTCCCAAGGGAATACAAGGAGCAGATGAGATTCCGGCAAGAGGTGTCCCAGGTGAGGATCCAGGGACCAGATGAGACGGTGAGGGGCTCCTGCCCCTGCCCTACACGGTGTGCATCCAGCTGTGCTTCCCTGGGGGAATTTTAGGGGACCTAAAAGCTCTTGGAGAACATCTGACAGGGCTTCCACCAGGGTCCTCCACGCCTGACCCACGGCTCCTCCGGGAGCGCAGCCGGAGGCGCTGAGACCGAGCACGCAAGGCACATCCTGTTGCACACGCGTGTGCCAGCTCACACAGCGCACGTGCAAGGGGGAAAACGCATCTCCTGCTGCGTTGCACACGCAACAGGGCACGCCGTGCCCGTGCAACAGGAAAGTGTTGGTGTGTGTGGTGTTGCACGCCTCTTTATTTCGAACAGGAAGGTGTTGGTGCGTGCGGTGTTGCACGCCTCTTTATTTCCTTTTTTCTCCCTTTTTCTCCCTTTTTCTCTCTTTTTCTCCTTTTTTTCTCCCTTTTTCTCCTTTTTTCTCCCTTTTTCTCTCTTTTTCTCCTTTTTTTCTCCCTTTTTCTCCCTTTTTCTCATCTTTTCACCCCGGAGGACGAGCGTGCAACACAGGGGTGACGGCAGCAACTCAAGTTGCAGAACCCCCTTCCCTTCCACCTGGCTCCGCTGGACCAGAACCAACCAGGGAGAGGAAAACCAGGAGCAAAACCATGGATGGGTGGAAGGACACATCCCACCCCCTACATCGGCGAAGAAGGTGGGGGGGGACACAGGGGGGTGGCAGGAGAAGACCTTTCCACAGAGCTCCCTCTCCCACGTTCCTCTGGAGCCAGGATTTGGCGGGATGGCGGTGGGAGCGTGGGATGAGCAGCCAGCGCGACGGGGCGCATGGAGGGGGGGTCCAGCCCCGTCCCCCCCCCTCTACTCACCTATTAGCACTTCCCACTTGCCGCTGGCTTGCGTCACCTCGTAGGCACAGCGCATCTCGTTCATGCTGACGCCGCCCAGGATGAAGATGATGAGGCGGGGGCCGCTGCGGTACTCCCCGGGGGCCTTGTTCTTGTGCCAGTGGCCGTAGCGGGCACTAGGGAGGAGGAAGAGGAAGGGGATGAAGGAGGGTGGGGAGGAGGATGGCTCAATGACCAGCATCTGAGCTAAACCACGTATTAATTAGCTCTCAAGTTGCTGCTAGAGGGGTTAAAAGTCCAGGTCTCCAGACGGTTGGACAAGATGATCTTTAAGGTCCCTTCCAACCTAGAAGATTCTGTGATTCTGTGACTCGCTGTTGCAGGAAGGGAAACTGAGGCACGGGGTACTTGAATGGCCTGAGCAGGTCAAACACTTGCTGATGGACACGGTCCCTCCAGGCAGGTGAGAATGGTGATGTGTATTAATTAGCTCTCAAGTTGCTGCTAGAGCAGTGAAAAGTCCAGCTCTCCAGCAACTCGCTGTTGCAGGAAGGGAAACTGAGGCACGGGATGCTTGAATGGCCTGAGCAGCTCAAACACCTGCTGATGGACACAGTCCTTCTGAGCAGGTGAGGGATGGTGAGAATGGTGATATAGAGAACCATAGAATGGTTTGGGTCAGAAAGGACCTTAAAGCCCATCCAGTGCCACCCCCTGCCCTGGGCAGGGACACCTCCCACCACACCAGGTTGCTCCAAGCCCCCTCCAACCTGGCCTTGAACCCCTCCAGGGATGGGGCAGCCACAGCTTCTCTGGGCAACCTGGGCCAGGCTCTCACCACCCTCACACCAAAGAAGTTCTTCCCCACACCTCAGCTCAATCTCCCCTCTTCCAGTTCTATGGCTCCCCTCCCTGATCCAGCTGAACCCCCCAACTCTCTCAGCCTCACAGCAGAGGTTCTCCAGCCCTCCCAGCATCTTCAAGTCTCCTCCAGACCTGCTCCAACAGGTCCATGTCCCTGGAAGTGCTGCAGAGGTTCTCCAGCCCTCCCAGCATCTTCATGTCTCTCCTCCAGACCCGACTCCAGAGCTGGATGCTGTGCTCCAGGTGGGCTCTCCCCAGAGCTGAGATATAGGTGCTAACATATACAGAGGTGCCAAGCTATAGGGTACAGGTGCTAACATATACACAGGTGCCAAGCTCTAGGGTACCCACCTGACGGCAGTGGTGCTGAAGGAGGCGGAGGAGCGGGTGGAGATGTACGGGTAGTGCTTGGAGCAGAGATATAGGTGCTAACGTATAGAGAGGTGCCAAGCTCTAGGGTACCCACCTGACGGCAGTGGTGCTGAAGGAGGCGGAGGAGCGGGTGGAGATGTACGGGTAGTGCTTGGTGTCCAACTTGTCATCGATGGCATCCTGTGGGCAGAGAGACCATGGTGGGGGTTCCTGGAAGGGGCTCTAAGGTCCCCCCGGAGCCTTCTCTTCTCCAGGCTGAACCCCCCCAACTCTCTCAGCCTCACAGCAGAGGTTCTCCAGCCCTCCCAGCATCTTCATGTCTCTCCTCCAGACCCGTTCCAACAGCTCCATGTCCTTCTTGTGCTGAGGACTCCAGAGCTGGATGCAGCGCTCCAGGTGTGCTCTCCCCAGAGCAGAGATATAGGTGCTAACGTATAGAGACCCCTCTTCCAGTTCCATGGCTCCCCTCCCTGATCCAGAATCCCTCCCCATCTCTCCTGGAGCCCCTTTAGGGACTGGAAGGGGCTCTAAGGTCTCCCCGGAGCCTTCTCTTCTCCAGGCTGAACCCCCCAACTCTCTCAGCCTCACAGCAGAGGTTCTCCAGCCCTCCCAGCATCTTCAAGTCTCCTCCAGACCTGCTCCAACAGGTCCATGTCCCTGGAAGTGCTGAGGACTCCAGAGCTGGATGCTGTGCTCCAGGTGGGCTCTCCCCAGAGCTGAGATATAGGTGCTAACATATACAGAGGTGCCAAGCTATAGGGTACAGGTGCTAACATATACACAGGTGCCAAGCTCTAGGGTACCCACCTGACGGCAGTGGTGCTGAAGGAGGCGGAGGAGCGGGTGGAGATGTACGGGTAGTGCTTGGTGTCCAACTTGTCATCGATGGCATCCTGCGGGCAGAGAGACCATGGTGGAGGGGGGGTTCAGCAAGGAGCCCTGGCCCCAGAGCCCCTCTGAAGGGCTGTACCCAAAAGGATTGGCCCAACTGGGGCAGGCTTCATTTGCATATATTTGCATGGCCTTACTTTTTGGAACTATCTGGCTGCCTTCCTACAATGGGGTGCGCTTGGGGGGAGGAGGGTGGTGCTTGGGTGCTGTGGGGTTGGGGCAGCACATGGGGGCTGGAGCATGGGGTTTGGGGTGAGATAGAAATTCATCTTCTCCTGGGAAGCTCAGAGGAACCACCTGGAGGTTTGACACCTGCAATCCAAGCCTGGAGTAAGGGACCTTGCCCTTGTTTTCATCACGGGGGGGGGTTAATGCTCTCTGTGAGATGCTGGCAAGATGTCACCTCCCTGTGCAGTCCCCTTTGGGCCCGGGGATGAGGTTCAGGGGGGCCTAAAGCCATCCTGGGAGGGTTTGCACAGGCTGTGGTAGAGGAAGGCAAGAAATCTTGGAAATCACAGGAGCTGGGAGCAGAGGTGGCGTGGAACAGCGGTGATGTCCCCCTTGCTATCCCAAAATGTGGCCCTGGGGTCTGTCTGTCCAGGCAGGTGGGAAATATCCACATTGGGGTGCAGCCTCAGGGTCTGGGATCCCCCTGGCTATGGGCAAACCCAAGGAGGCAGCTCCCATGCGAGGGGTGGCCAGGAGGGAGAGGGGCAGGAGGAAGATGGTGCCTGGAGAAAACCACTTTTTGGCTCTGCTGGGACTTGGGCAACCTTGTGATGAGGCCACCCAGCCATGCCCAGTGTGGCACAGGGAGCAGGGTTGCCTCGCAACCTGGCTGGAGCTGTGCAAGCCACCTAAGGCCAGGCAAACCTCCCCAGATCATCCCAACCTTGTGGCAGGACCAGGAAAACATCCCCAGAGCATCCCAACCTTGTGGCACGACCAGGAAAACCTTCCCAAATCATCCCAACCTTGTGGCAGGACCAGGGAAACCTCCCCAGATCATCCCAACCTTGTGGCAGGACCAGGAAAACCTCCCCAGATCATCCCAACCTTGTGGCAGGACCAGGAAAACCTCCCCAGATCATCCCAACCTTGTGGCACTGGCAGGCAGCAAGCAGCCTGGAGGGCATGTGTTGGGCAGAGACATCAGGGTTTGGGCTGGAAGGAGCCAGCTCCCTGCAGGTCCCCTCCTGGGCAGTGCTGAGGTCCCCTGCTCCGTCCCCTTGTCCCTGTCCTTGCTGGCTCACCTCCATGATGTCCTTAATCACGGGGGTCCATCGGGAGAGCTGGTAGGTCTGCTCACTGATCCGCTCCTTCCGCTCTGGCTTGCTCCGGCGGCGCAGGGTGGACTGGGCAGAAAGAGGACAGAGACACCCTGAGACATGGGTGGTGGGACCAGGACCACCCCAGAGGAGCACTGGGGACATCCCAGTGGGGTACACAGTTCCCAGAGCAGAGCAGGTGCCGTGGTTCTCCTGAGGGGCTATAAGAGGGCTGTCGGAAGCGGGAGGTGGACACTCACATCTGTGATGATGGGCACCCCGAGGTGGGCCATGTTGGTGATGATCTCACTGTCCTCTGCTGGGATCTGAGCGTGCTGGATCAGCTTGTTCAGGTTCTCCTCGGTGATACCTGGAAACGCAACGGGGAGGTGGTGTCCTCCTGAGAAACACCTCTCAGCAGGGTCACAGCCCCTCCATCATCACCTTAGGACACCCGGCTTGGTGGCAGCTGGGGAGACAGGGCTGAGCTTTTCCATCTGGCTTATGTTGGCCAAACCCCGAGCTTTTTGCCACCTGGATGCATGTCTTGCCCACCCCTGCCCAGCCCTCCTCCTCACCGTTCTTCAGGAAGATGTAGAGCAAGATGATGCGGATCTTGTCGTAGGTGCTGACATTCCCATCCAGCAGGATGGGCACGATGGCCCTCATGGGGTCCTTGATCTTCTCGCCTTCCGCATCAGTGCCCATGGCCAAGTCCTGCAGAGAACACACGTTAACTCATCCGTGCTGAGCTGTGGGGCAGCAGTTGCCGGCCCCAGTTGTCCCCGTGGGGATGTGGGGCTGGGGCTCTGCTGGGACTTGGGCAACCTTGTGATGAGACCACCCAGCCATGCCCAGTGTGGCACAGGGAGCAGGGGTGCCACGCAAGCCTGGCTGGGGCTGTGCAAGCCACCTAACGCCAGGCAAACCTCCCCAGATCATCCCAACCTTGTGGCAGGACCAGGAAAACCTCCCCAGATCATCCCAACCTTGTGGTACCTGTTCAACTCTGCAGAGCTTGTCCACTGTGCCCTGGTAGTGCTTCATGCAGTCCTCAGCCAGATGCAGATGGGTCGAGTACTGGGGAGACACAAGTGGGGCAGTCACCCTCGCGGTGCTGGCAGCAGCCGAAGGTCCCCGTGCCAGCACCATGTCCCCCCCTGCAGCCAGGGACCCTCCAGGGAGAGCTGCCATCGTGTCCTCCCTGGGTGGACTTGGCAACAGCCACTCTGCAGGAACCTTCTCCCTGCTCCTCATACCTTGCTGAGCTCCTTCTGGTACTGGGGCATCTTCTTCAGCATCTGGGACAGGTCTCTCATGGTGGTCTGTGAGGGAAGGGGACATGGTCACTCACCCCTGAGGACTTAGTGACCATGAGCAGAGATGGGATGACCCTCCCAAGGACTTCTCTCCCCATGTGGGCCGCTCATGGGGGTCTGGTGACACCTGCTGTGGCATTGCCAGGTCTCCTCCGCTGGCGGCTGAGGGGCAGGGAGGGGGTCTGTAGCCCTGCAACCTGGAGTACCACGGGGTGAAATCCACCCCCAGGACCTTCCTCCGGGACCCCCGTTGTGCCCGGTGGATGCTGAGATGCTGCTTCCAACTTCTGGATCCTATTTCCACCAGGGTCCCCTCACTGCCACCCACTCGGGGTCTTCACAAGGAGAACCAGTTGGGGACAGGGGCAGCCACTGTGGGATGGGCACAGACCCCGTGCCAGGGACAAGCTGGCCCCTGTGGTCTCCCAAGACCCCCACGTCTGGGGCCAGCACCCCACAGCCATCACCCCCCATCAGGGACCTGAGCACCCTTGGCCCTTTGCAGAGGTCCCCATCGGGTGTCCCCAGGAGACTGCATCTGGGACAGGTCTCTCATGGTGGTCTGTGAGGGAAGGGGACATGGTCACTCACCCCTGAGGACTTAGTGACCATGAGCAGAGATGGGATGACCCTCCCAAGGACTTCTCTCCCCATGTGGGCCGCTCATGGGGGTCTGGTGACACCTGCTGTGGCATTGCCAGGTCTCCTCCGCTGGCGGCTGAGGGGCAGGGAGGGGGTCTGTAGCCCTGCAACCTGGAGTACCACGGGGTGAAATCCACCCCCAGGACCTTCCTCCGGGACCCCCGTTGTGCCCAGTGGAGGCTGAGATGCTGCTTCCAACTTCTGGATCCTATTTCCACCAGGGTCCCCTCACTGCCACCCACTCGGGGTCTCCACAAGGAGAACCAGTTGGGGACAGGGGCAGCCACTGTGGGATGGGCACAGACCCCGTGCCAGGGACAAGCTGGCCCCTGTGGTCTCCCAAGACCCCCACGTCTGGGGCCAGCACCCCACAGCCATCACCCCCCATCAGGGACCTGAGCACCCTTGACCCTTTGCAGAGGTCCCCATCAGGTGTCCCCAGGAGACTGCCATGTGCCAGCCCACTGCTGAGCCCCCCGCGTGCCCATCCCCAGCTCAGTGCCCATCCCCAGGTCACCTTATCGCCCGTGTTCATCCTCTTGCTTGAAGAAAACTCCTTCAGGGACCGGGTCACCTCCCTGGGGAGAGAAGGAGGACACAGCCATCAGTGGGGAGGAGACCCTAACAGTGGGGTGGGTGGCGATGCCAAGCCCCTCAGAGGATGGGCCTGAGCAGGTTTTGGTGCCCATTTCCACCTCTCTGTGGGGTGCTCTGCTTTGTCTTGGTGTCACTTGGATTTTAGGGTCCCAACCTCCCTCAAGCCTGAGCCTGTTTTTACACTAAAGATGGGTGTCTGTCCGTCCCACCACCTCCTCCATCTCCACATCCAACCCCCGGGTGGCAAACCACCTGCAGAGACACTCACTGGGACACCTCGGCGATGTGTTTGTGGCGCAAGGTGACCCACAGGTCATCGTCCTCGTCCAGGAGAACCTCTTTAATCCGGGCTTCCCCGATGCCGCTCGTCTCGTACCTGGGAGGAGGACAGGGAGTGTCACAGCGGGGATGGGGACTCCTGTACCCCTTCAACTGCCAAACGTCGGGAAGGGGTAAGGGTTGAAGGGTAGAAAAGCCCCCTGTGCATCAGTCCTGCCCATCAGGCTGCAGGCAGGGATGGTGTCTCCCAACTTTTGATGGAGGGAGGGATGCTGAGGCTCAGACTTCACTGAATTTCACTGAATTCTTAGAGTTGGAAGGGACCATAGAGATCATCTAGTCCAACTCCCCTGCTGAAGCAGGATTGCCTAGAGCTAGAGCATGTTACTCAGGAGCATCCAGGCAGGTCTTGAAAATCTCCAAAGGAGGGGACTCCACACCCTCCCTGGGCAGCCTGTTCCAGGGCTCTGTCACCCTCACCGTGAAAAAGTTCTTCCTCATATTCAAGTGGAACCCTTTATGTTCCAACTTGTGCCCATTGCCCCCCCTTGAGATACTTGTAGGCATTGATAAGGTCTCCCCTCAGCCTTCTCTTCTCCAGACTAAAGAGTCCCAGCTCTCTCAGTCTCTCCTCATAAGGGAGATGCTCCCATCCTTGAATCATCTTTGTTGCCCTACGCTGGACTCTTTCCAGTAGTTCCCTGTCCCTCTTGAACTGGGGAGCCCAGAACTGGACACAGTATTCCAGTTGTGGCCTCACCAGTGCAGAGTAGAGGGGCAGAATGACCTTCATGCCTGAGCTTCCAACTCCTGCTCAAGGCGGGGGTTCAAGGGGGTGGTCACGGGGACAGCAGCACCACACTCACTTGTAGACATCGTTCTCGATGGGCAGCAGGTCGTAGCTCATGGCCTGGAAGGTCAGCTCGTGCAGCACCGGAGAAGCGGGGTCAAAACCACGGTCCAGGATGAGGAGCTGGGAGCGAGCCTTGTCCGGACCCTGCAGAACCAGGGAGGGAAGTCATCAGCAGTGGGGCTGGGGGCTCCTCCAGCCCCACAGACACTCGGGAGAAGCTAGGGCCATTTTTGGGGACCCCGCTTGGGGTCTGCAACTGCCACATGGAGTGAAGCATCACCCCAGCATCATCCCCCCAGACATCATTCTCGATGGGCAGCAGGTCGTAGCTCATGGCCTGGAAGGTCAGCTCGTGCAGCACCGGAGAAGCGGGGTCAAAACCACGGTCCAGGATGAGGAGCTGGGAGCGAGCCTTGTCCGGACCCTGCAGAACCCGGGGGGAGAAGTCATCAGCAGTGGGGCTGGGGGCTCCTCCAGCCCCACAGGCACTCGGGAGAAGCTGGGGCCATTTTTGGGGTCCCCGCTTGGGGTCTGCAACTGCTACATGGAGTGAAGCATCACCCCAGCATTGTCCCCCTAGGGTTGCCAGGACCGTCCCTCCTCACCTCGCCCATGGTGGGGTCATCAGCCTTGTAGGCGTCCAGCTTGTCCTGGATGAGCTGTGCCAGCATGGCATTGTCCTTGTAATCCCTGGAGGAGGCAGGAGGAGAGGTCAGATCCCTGGGGTGGCTGGTTCTCACCAGGATGGGATGGGGAGGAGCTGCTGGTTTCCCTGTGCAATGTCCTTGGCTTATGGGAGAGGAGGGGCCTGAGCAGGTTTTGGTGCCCATTTCCACCTCTCCGGGGGGTGCTCTGCTTTGTCTTGGTGCCGCTTGGATTTTAGGGTCCCAACCTCCCCTGTTCTTCAGGATTGAGCCTGTTTTTACACTAAGGATGGGTGTCTGTCCGTCCCACCATCTCCTCTATCTCCATGGTCTCATCCATGCCCCATGGTGGGCATGGCCCCAGCTCTGGGTCCCAACCTCCCCCGTTCTTCAGGACTGAGCCCATTTTACACTAAGGATGGGTGTCTGTCCATCCCACCACCTCCTCCATCTCCATGCCCTCACCAGCACCATGGTCTCATCCATGCCCCATGGTGGGCATGGCCCCAGCTCTGCCACGCTGCTGGGGGAGAAGACAGGTCCCTGGGGAGGGGTGCTCTGCTTTGTCTTGGTGTCACTTGGACTTTAGGGTCCCAACCTCCCCCTTTCTTCAAGACTGAGCCCGTTTTTACACTAAGGATGGGTGTCTGTCCGTCCCACCATCTCCACACCCTTTTAGGGTCCCAACCTCCCCTGTTCTTCACTAAGGATGGGTGTCTGTCCGTCCCACCATCTCCAGCTTCACGCCCTCACCAGCACCATGGTCTCATCCATGCCCCACGATGGGCATGGCCCCAGCTCTGCCACGCTGCTGAGGGAGAGGACAGGTCCCTGCGAAGGGGTGCTCTGCTTTGTCTTGGTGTCACTTGGATTTAAGGGTCCCAACCTCCCCTGTTCTTCAGGATTGAGCCCATTTTTACACTAAGGGTGGGTGTCTGTCCATCCCACCATCTCCACGCCCCCACCAGCCCCAGCACCATGGTCTTATCCATGCCCCACGATGGGCATGGCCCCAGCTCTGCCACGCTGGTGGGGGAGAGGACAGGTCCCTGGGGAGGGGTGCTCTGCTTTATCTTGGTGCCACTTGGACTTTAGGGTCCCAACCTCCCCTGTTCTTCAAGCCTGAGCCCGTTTTTACACTAAAGATGGGTGTCTGTCCATCCCACCACCTCCTCCATCTCCATGCCCTCACCAGCTCCATGGTCTCATCCATGCCCCATGGTGGGCATGGCCCCAGCTCTGCCACGCTGCTGAGGGAGAGGACAGGTCCCTGGGAAGGGGTGCTCTGCTTTGTCTTGGTGTCACTTGGACTTTAGGGTCCCAACCTCCCCTGTTCTTCACTAAGGATGGGTGTCTGTCCGTCCCACCATCTCCAGCTTCACGCCCTCACCAGCACCATGGTCTCATCCATGCCCCACGATGGGCATGGCCCCAGCTCTGCCACGCTGCTGGGGGAGAAGACAGGTCCCTGGGGAGGGGTGCTCTGCTTTGTCTTGGTGTCACTTGGACTTTAGGGTCCCAACCTCCCCCGTTCTTCAGGACTGAGCCCATTTTACACTAAGGATGGGTGTCTGTCCATCCCACCACCTCCTCCATCTCCATGCCCTCACCAGCACCATGGTCTCATCCATGCCCCATGGTGGGCATGGCCCCAGCTCTGCCACGCTGCTGAGGGAGAGGACAGGTCCCTGCGAAGGGGTGCTCTGCTTTGTCTTGGTGTCACTTGGATTTAAGGGTCCCAACCTCCCCTGTTCTTCAGGATTGAGCCCATTTTTACACTAAGGGTGGGTGTCTGTCCATCCCACCATCTCCACGCCCCCCCGTTTTTACACTAAGGATGGGTGTCTGTCCATCTCACCACCTCCTCCATCTCCACACCCTCATCAGCACCACGGTCTCATCCATGCCCCATGGTGGGCATGGCCCCAGCTCTGCCACGCTGCTGGGGGAGAAGACAGGTCCCTGAGGAGGGGTGCTCTGCTTTGTCTTGGCGTCACTTGGACTTTAGGGTCCCAACCTCCCCTGTTCTTCAAGCCTGAGCCCGCTTTTACACTAAGGATGGGTGTCTGTCTGTCCCACCATCTCCTCCATCTCCATGGTCTCATCCATGCCCCACGGTGGGCATGGCCCCACCTCTGCCACGCTGCTGGGGGAGAAGACAGGTCCCTGGGGGGGGTGCTGACCAGCCCTCACCAGCACCACGGTCTCATCCATGCCCGACGGTGGGCATGGCCCCACCTCTGTCATGCTGCTGGGGGAGAGGACAGGTCCCTGGGGAGGGGGTGCCGACCGCTGCCACGCTGGTGGGGGAGAGGACAGGTCCCTGGGGAGGGGTGCTCTGCTTTATCTTGGTGCCACTTGGACTTTAGGGTCCCAACCTCCCCTGTTCTTCAAGCCTGAGCCCGTTTTTACACTAAAGATGGGTGTCTGTCCATCCCACCACCTCCTCCATCTCCACGCCCTCACCAGCACCACGGTCTCATCCATGCCCGACGGTGGGCATGGCCCCACCTCTGTCATGCTGCTGGGGGAGAGGACAGGTCCCTGGGGAGGGGGTGCCGACCGCGCTGCCCTTACCCCCGGTACCGCACGGCCGGGTACTCCTTCAGCGTGGCACACAGCGTGGCAATCTGCTCGGCCAGGCGCTCCAGGATGGGGTTCTTCATCTGGGCCTTGTGGGGGCTGTAAAAGCTCTGGAAGGAGTCGGCTGAATCCAGGGAGTAAACCTGGGAGGTGCAGCGGGAGGGAGGTTAGAGGGGATGCAGGAAGGGGGGGCATCCGGAGGAGAGCGAGCCCCACAGGACACCCCGGTGGGTTTGGAAACCAGATTCAACCCCAGATGAAGGTCTTGGACCAGGCAGCTGGAGCTCACTGATGCTCAGGGCATCCCTTGGGTTTTTGGCTGCCGGCTCTGGACCCTGATGCCTTCCATGGCACGGTCCCTACCCATGCGTAGCCCCCAGGGTGAGCAGAAAAAGATAGGAGACCCCCCCTTGTCTGCAGCAGTCACCTGCTCCCAGGCAGGGAACCAGAGACCCAGGGACAAGTGAGGACATCCCAGGACAGTGAAGCTCAGAAGCAAATTTGGCTGCGCATGGAGATGCCAAGAGGTCATCTCCCACCTGGGCTGCATCAAGAGATGCGTTGCCAGCTGGTCCAGAGAGGTGATTCTGCCACTTTGCTCTGGTGAGACCTCACTTGGAGTATCGTGTGCAGGTCTGGAGCCCTCAATATAAGAAGGACATGGAGCTGATGGAGAGGGTCCAGAGGAGGGCCACGAGGATGCTCAGGGGGTTGGAGCCCCTCTGCTACAAGGACAGGCTGAGGGAGCTGGGGTTGTTCAGCCTGGAGAAAAGGCTCCGGGGAGACCTAATAGCAGCCTTCCTGCTGAGGGAGGCTACAGGAAGGCTGGGGAGAACCTGTTTCCAAAGGCCTGCAGTGACAGGACGAGGGGCAATGGCTTTAAGCTGGAGGGGAACAGATTTAGGTTGGAGATGAGGAGCAAGTTCTTTACTGTGAGGGTGGTGGAGCACTGGAACAGGTTGCCCAGGGAGGTGGTTGAGGCCCCATCCCTGGAGATATTCAAGGAGAGGCTCAACGAGGCCCTGGGCAACCTGGTCTAGTTGGGGGTGTCCCTGCTGACTGCGGGGGGGTGGGACTAGATGACCTTTGGAGGTCCCTTCCAGCCTGGACCATTCTAAGATTCTATGATTCGGTGTTTTTCTCCCCAGAAATGCTGAGCCTGGAAGGGTTAACAGCACCGTGTGGGTCTGGTACCATCTGTTCCCTTCATCCCCACGTCCCCAGCAGGGGCAGATGGCACAGGGTCGGGTCCCCAGCGCCCTCGGCCTGGGGGGCTGTGCCGGGGGGGGGTGGTGGGTGCCAACGTGGCTGCCAGCACAGGCTAAATCCCCGGCGGCGGATCAGCCCGTGGGACTAGATGACCTTTGGAGGTCCCTTCCAGCCTGGACCATTCTAAGATTCTATGATTCGGTGTTTTTCTCCCCAGAAATGCTGAGCCTGGAAGGGTTAACAGCACCGTGTGGGTCTGGTACCATCTGTTCCCTTCATCCCCACGTCCCCAGCAGGGGCAGATGGCACAGGGTCGGGCCCCCAGCGCCCTCGGCCTGGGGGGCTGTGCCGGGGGGGGGTGGTGGGTGCCAACGTGGCTGCCAGCACAGGCTAAATCCCCGGCGGCGGATCAGCCCGGAGAAGTAATCGAAGGAGACAGGGAGGTGGAGACCCAGCAAGGGATGAGGAGCTGGGGAAGAGGGGGTACGAGGCTGGTACACAAACCCTGATGGGCTGGAGAAGGACCCGGAGCATCGCCCCCCCAGCTATTCCCATCCCTTGGACCACCCTGCGAGGGGAGATGGTCCCCATCCTGGTCTCACCTGGGACTCGGAGGGGAGGAAGGCAATGTTGATCTCCGTCAGGGTTTTGATGACCTTGGCGGCACGGGATTTCACCAGCTCGTTGAAGAGGGCATCGGGGCAGGCTGCAAGGGGAGGAGGAGGAGGAGGAGGGTAGCGCTCAGCATCCCTGCATCCCTCCATCCCTCCATCCCCGCTTGCTTACATGCTTCAGTGACTCTCCCTCCCCTCCGGGTACTCACAGTCAGTGAAGAAGACGTGGGCAGCTCTGTACTTGGAGGTGGGGGGATCCTTGAAGTCGTTGATGAGGGAGTGGATGGACTGGAAGAGAGAAGGGACCAGCTGGGTGGCACCACGGCCATCCCGGCAGTGTCACACCCAGGGTCCCACCTCCCAGCACGGGGGAAGATCTGCCACCTCTGGTCCACCACCCCTGGTGCCAAGATGCCATCCTGCCCACGATGGGCATGGCCCCAGCTCTGCCACGCTGGTGGGGGAGAGGACAGGTCCCTGGGGAGGGGTGCTCTGCTTTATCTTGGTGCCACTTGGACTTTAGGGTCCCAACCTCCCCTGTTCTTCAAGCCTGAGCCCGTTTTTACACTAAAGATGGGTGTCTGTCCATCCCACCACCTCCTCCATCTCCACGCCCTCACCAGCACCACGGTCTCATCCATGCCCGACGGTGGGCATGGCCCCACCTCTGTCATGCTGCTGGGGGAGAGGACAGGTCCCTGGGGAGGGGGTGCCGACCGCGCTGCCCTTACCCCCGGTACCGCACGGCCGGGTACTCCTTCAGCGTGGCACACAGCGTGGCAATCTGCTCGGCCAGGCGCTCCAGGATGGGGTTCTTCATCTGGGCCTTGTGGGGGCTGTAAAAGCTCTGGAAGGAGTCGGCTGAATCCAGGGAGTAAACCTGGGAGGTGCAGCGGGAGGGAGGTTAGAGGGGATGCAGGAAGGGGGGGCATCCGGAGGAGAGCGAGCCCCACAGGACACCCCGGTGGGTTTGGAAACCAGATTCAACCCCAGATGAAGGTCTTGGACCAGGCAGCTGGAGCTCACTGATGCTCAGGGCATCCCTTGGGTTTTTGGCTGCCGGCTCTGGACCCTGATGCCTTCCATGGCACGGTCCCTACCCATGCGTAGCCCCCAGGGTGAGCAGAAAAAGATAGGAGACCCCCCCTTGTCTGCAGCAGTCACCTGCTCCCAGGCAGGGAACCAGAGACCCAGGGACAAGTGAGGACATCCCAGGACAGTGAAGCTCAGAAGCAAATTTGGCTGCGCATGGAGATGCCAAGAGGTCATCTCCCACCTGGGCTGCATCAAGAGATGCGTTGCCAGCTGGTCCAGAGAGGTGATTCTGCCACTTTGCTCTGGTGAGACCTCACTTGGAGTATCGTGTGCAGGTCTGGAGCCCTCAATATAAGAAGGACATGGAGCTGATGGAGAGGGTCCAGAGGAGGGCCACGAGGATGCTCAGGGGGTTGGAGCCCCTCTGCTACGAGGACAGGCTGAGGGAGCTGGGGTTGTTCAGCCTGGAGAAAAGGCTCCGGGGAGACCTAATAGCAGCCTTCCTGCTGAGGGAGGCTACAGGAAGGCTGGGGAGAACCTATTTCCAAAGGCCTGCAGTGACAGGACAAGGGGCAATGGCTTTAAGCTGGAGGGGAACAGATTTAGGTTGGAGATGAGGAGCAAGTTCTTTACTGTGAGGGTGGTGGAGCACTGGAACAGGTTGCCCAGGGAGGTGGTTGAGGCCCCATCCCTGGAGATATTCAAGGAGAGGCTCAACGAGGCCCTGGGCAACCTGGTCTAGTTGGGGGTGTCCCTGCTGACTGCGGGGGGGTCGGACTAGATGACCTTTGGAGGTCCCTTCCAGCCTGGACCATTCTAAGATTCTATGATTCGGTGTTTTTCTCCCCAGAAATGCTGAGCCTGGAAGGGTTAACAGCACCGTGTGGGTCTGGTACCATCTGTTCCCTTCATCCCCACGTCCCCAGCAGGGGCAGATGGCACAGGGTCGGGTCCCCAGCGCCCTCGGCCTGGGGGGCTGTGCCGGGGGGGGGTGGTGGGTGCCAACGTGGCTGCCAGCACAGGCTAAATCCCCGGCGGCGGATCAGCCCGGAGAAGTAATCGAAGGAGACAGGGAGGTGGAGACCCAGCAAGGGATGAGGAGCTGGGGAAGAGGGGGTACGAGGCTGGTACACAAACCCTGATGGGCTGGAGAAGGACCCGGAGCATCGCCCCCCCAGCTATTCCCATCCCTTGGACCACCCTGCGAGGGGAGATGGTCCCCATCCTGGTCTCACCTGGGACTCGGAGGGGAGGAAGGCAATGTTGATCTCCGTCAGGGTTTTGATGACCTTGGCGGCACGGGATTTCACCAGCTCGTTGAAGAGGGCATCGGGGCAGGCTGCAAGGGGAGGAGGAGGAGGAGGAGGAAGAGGAGGGTAGCGCTCAGCATCCCTGCATCCCTCCATCCCTCCATCCCCGCTTGCTTACATGCTTCAGTGACTCTCCCTCCCCTCCGGGTACTCACAGTCAGTGAAGAAGACGTGGGCAGCTCTGTACTTGGAGGTGGGGGGATCCTTGAAGTCGTTGATGAGGGAGTGGATGGACTGGAAGAGAGAAGGGACCAGCTGGGTGGCACCACGGCCATCCCGGCAGTGTCACACCCAGGGTCCCACCTCCCAGCACGGGGGAAGATCTGCCACCTCTGGTCCACCACCCCTGGTGCCAAGATGCCATCCTGGGGTGGGCATCCCCCCACCTCTCCCCAGCCACGTCCATCCCCACACCCCGTATTCACCTTCTCGGAGGGGGTGATGAGATAGACGGCCTCCAGGCTGGGCAGCGGCTCCCGGCGCTTGTTGATGTCTTCCACGACTGGGGAGGGCAGAAAAAAAAGGACCATGGCAGTGTCAGGTGCAGGCAGTGACCCCGAGCCACATGGGGTTGTTGGATACCCCAGGGACACTCAGTGACATGGGGTTGCTGGATATTCCAGGGACACTTGGCCATGCGGGGTTGTTGGATACCCCAGGGACACTTGGTGGCGTGGGGTTTTTGGATACCCTAAGGACACCTGACCATGCAGGGTTGTTGAATACCCCAGGGACACTTGGCCATGTGGGGTTGTTGGGATATCCTTTTGGATACCCTAAGGACACCTGACCATGCAGGGTTGTTGAATACCCCAGGGACACTTGGTGACAGGGGGTTGTTGGATATTCCAGGGACACTTGGCCACGTGGGGTTGTTGGATACGTCAGGGACACTCAGCTACGTGGGGTTGTTGGATCCCCCAGGGACACTCGGTGACAGGGGGTTGTTGGATACCCCAAGGACACTTGACCATGTGGGGCTGTTGGACACCCCAGTGACACTCAGCCACACAGGATTTTTAGATACCCCAGGGACACTTGGTGACAGGGGGTTGTTGGATATTTCAGGAACACTTGGCCACGTGGGGTTGTTGGATATGTCAGGGACACTTGGTGACAGGGGGTTGTTGGATACCCCGAGGACACTTGACCATGCGGGGCTGTTGGACACCCCAGGGACACTCGGCCACACAGGATTGTTAGATACTCCAGGGATACTTGGTGACATGGGGCTGCTGGATATTCCAGGGATAGTTGACCATGTGGGGCTGTTGGATACCCCAGGGACACTCAGTGATGTTTACCCCAGGGACACTCAGCTACATGGGGTTGTTGGATATTCCAGAGACACTTGACCACGAGGGGTTGTTGAACACCCCAGGGACACTCGGTGATGTGAGGTTGTTGGATACCCCAGGGACACTCAGTGACAGGGGGTTGTTGGACACCCCAAGGACACATGGTGACATGGGGTTGTTGGATATTCCAGGGACACTTGGCCATGTGGGGCTGTTGGATACCCCAGGGACACTTGGTGGCAGGGGGTTGTTGGACACCCCAAGGACACATGGTGACATGGGGTTGTTGGATATTCCAGGGACACTTGGCCATGTGGGGCTGTTGGATACCCCAGGGACACTTGGTGGCAGGGGGTTGTTGGACACCCCAAGGACACATGGTGACATGGGGTTGTTGGATATTCCAGGGACACTTGGCCATGTGGGGCTGTTGGATACCCCAGGGACACTTGGTGGCAGGGGGTTGTTGGACACCCCAAGGACACATGGTGACATGGGGTTGTTGGACACCCCAGGGACACTCGGTGATGTGGGGTTGTTGGACACCCCAGGGACACTCTGCTGCGACACAACACCTGGTTGTTGGACATGCCCAGGGCAGCAGAGCACCAGCCCTGCCAACCCCTCCGTGTCCATAACATCCCCAGCCACACACCTCCACCCACCCGGGAGTGGGGCAGGGCCTGTCCCCACCCCATCCCAGCCCCACGCTGCCCCACATGGTGCCTGGCAAGGTCCGGGGAGGACCAGAGGATTTGTCTGTGTGCTCCTGTGCCTTGGTTCACCCTCACACCCCTTCTCCAGAGGGGGTTGCCCGGGGGTGATGCTCTGGTGGTACCCAGGCTGGTGCCAACCCCCACCACCCCCAACACCTCCCGGTGCCCAGGCTGGGGTTTCCTTCTCCTTCCCGAGTGCTGCGGGGAGCTATTTATAGGGCTGACATAAACCAACATCTGGTCTCCTCCTCGGCCTGAGGGACTGCCAAGAGACAAGGTGTCCCCAGCGGGCGAGGAGGGAGGCTGTGGAACATCAGCCTGGCACCGAGACAGTCGGCTGTGAGGTGGCGTGTCCTCCATCCCGAGTGGGATGGGGCTGGGTTTGGGGGGGTCCGTGCCACTACCCCGACTGGCTTGTGCCAAGGCTGGAGGTACCTTTGAGGGTCCCCTTCCTACGCTGAGGTTTTGGGGAGCTGGTACTCACTCGTTATACCCTCTGTCATGATGTCGGTCATCTTGCAGCAGGAGGAGAGCATGCGCATGCTGAGCTGGTCCACCACCAGCACCTGGGGAGAGGGGTTGTCACCTTGAGGGGGGGGCACAACCAAGGTCCTGTCCCTCCCCATCCCTTCCCCAGTCTCCCCCAGCCCACACCTACACCCCCTTCCCTGCTTCCTCCCCCTCCTCCTCCTCCTCCTCCTCCTCTCCTGGCCCCCCCCCCAAGGGTGAGGTGCTCACCTTCCATTCACCCTTCTTCTTCACTTTCCGGATCACATCGTGCATAATCTCTGCAAGAGAGGGAGTGTGGAGAAGGGGGGGTGAGCACCCCAATTACCCCCCCCCAGAGCACCCCACCGGCAGCAGCAGGGGGTTGTGCTGGGGGCACCAAACCCCCCACCCACGTGTGGGTCCAGGGTGAGCCCTGCTCCCCCCCTGCCTTTCATGAGGATGTCGGGTAGAGATGTTTTGGGGTACCCAGGGAGGGGTGGTCACCCCCCAGCCCTGTTTTCCTCTCGTGCTTGGCTCTAACAGATGGAGCCCACGCTGGTGGGGAGCTGTGGGCTGGTGGAAGGTTGGGGGGGGGGGACCTTCTGGGGAGTCTGGGGGCCACCCCCCACGTCTCAGCCCTAATCCGAGGCACCGGGAAAACAACAGCAGCTTAAGAGCTCCTTTTAGAAACAAGAATCAGGCGGCCTGAGCCTGTTCCTTGTAATCCCCCCAAATCCCATTTCGCCTCCCGTGGCCGCCGGGCTTACGCAAGCGGCCAGGAACGGCAGCACCCCCAGGTCCCTCTGCCCCCCCAGGGACCCCTGGGGGCTGGGGACACCCCACGCCCACATTCCTGAGCACAGACACCCCACTTTTTCCTGGGGTCAGCCTTGGGGCTGCTGCCCGTGGGGTGTGGGTTAAGGCCACATGAGGAGGTGGGATGGGGATGTCCCCTTTTGGGGCTGAGCTGCAGGAAGGGGGTTTTGAGCCTCACCAGAATGTCCTCCTGCCCAAACTCCTATGTTGGGGACATGAGGTGTCCCCATAACCCTGAAGGTCCCCTTTTTACCCTGGTGTATGAACCATCACCCCTCGCAGAGTGGGGAGATGCCAGGGAACTGCCCGGTCACACCATGTCCTCCCCCCTTCTCTCCCTCCTGGAGGACTTTGCCCTCACCCTCAGGTTCCAGGGACAGGGATGGAAATGCCCAATTTAAAACCAATTAAGAAATGATTCTAAACCACAATGGGTGTGGGGAGATGGTGGGCAGGGTGTCACCCTGCCAGCCTGCACCTTGGGACCCCTGTGGGAGTGATCCCAAGGGTGCCAGTCCCCGAGGTAAAGCTCAACTTGGGTTTATTTGGGGTAGTTTAGGGTCCAAATTTGTCCCATTTTCGGCTCCCTGGTGCCACATGGAGCATCCTGGCCAGGAGAGCAGAGGGGCTCTGCCAGGCTTGGCTCGGCCCTCATCCCCCCTGGGTGATGGTCCCCGTGGTTTCCCCGCACTGCTGGACTCATTTACCATGTCACCACTCAAACACCCTTGGGGGTCTAACACCCCCCAACCAGGTTGCCCACAGGGCTCCGAGGGGTGTCCGATGGCTGGGGACTTGTGCCAGGAGGGCTAGACCCTGTGAGCATCCCTGGTCTGTCTGTCTGTCTGTCCTGCTGTGAAACTTGGGAGGCAGCTGTTCCTACCACTGCCCGTCCATCCACCCTGGTGAGACCCCACCTGGAGCACTGCCTCCAGCTCTGGGGCCTCAGCACAAGAAGGACATGGACCTGTTGGAGCGGGGCCAGAGGAGGCCACAGAGATGCTGGGAGGGCTGGAGAACCTCTGCTAGGAGGACAAGCTCTGAGAGCTCCCCAGGGTTCAGCCTGGAGAAGAGAAAGCTCCGGGGAGACCTTGGAGCCCCTTCCAGTTCCTAAAGGAGCTACAGGAGGGACGGGGAGGGACTCTTGATGAGAGAGGGGAGCCATAGGATGAGGGGGAACAGTTTTAAGCTGAAAGAGGGGAGATGGAGATGAGATGGGGGGAAGAACTTCTTTGGTGTGAGGGGGGTGAGAGCCTGGCCCAGGTTGCCCAGAGAAGCTGTGGCTGCCCCATCCCTGGAGGGGTTCAAGGCCAGGTTGGAGGGGCTTTGGAGCAACTTGGTGTGGTGGGAGGTGCCCCTGCCCAGGGCAGGGGGTGGCACTGGATGGCCTTTAAGGGGCCTTCCCACCCAAACCATTCTGTGATTCTATGGTTCAATGATCTCCATCCCAAGGACATTTGCCTTGGGGGAGCCCAGAAGGATGCTGGCTGGTCCTGGGGGTCTGCCTGCCCTTAGTTTCTCCATTGATAAAGGGTGTGCAGGGCAGCTGGGGTGGGGTCTGTACCCCTTAAGTGCCTGAGGTGGGCACTGCTGGTGGCAAAGGCCCTAATCCCTGGCAGCAGAAAAAAGCAGATGGGGAATTGTCCCATGTTGGGAAATGTTGGGATGTCCAACCAGGGCAGTGTCCCCTGGTCCTTCACTGGTGCAGGAGCGGGGCTGGGAGGAGGGATGCCAGTGCATCCTTCGTCCTCCTCCCCCTTCTCCACTTTCTCCTCCTTCTCCTCCTCCCATTACTCACATTTGGCTCCTTCCCCGGAGCAGGATCCAGCACTAACAGTGGTGTTTAGAAGGCAGGAACACACACACCCACCATCACCACCCCTGGGGGGTGAAACCCCGTGGGGTTGGGATGGTGCAGGGCGATACTGGCTGGGAAGGGGTCAAGGTCCAGGAAGAAATCCTGCCCCTGCCATGGAAACACCTCTGTGCTGTGGGGCCAGGAGGGGAAGGAAGGAAGGAGGTTGGGACCCAGCGTCCTGGGGCCCAGGGGAAGGTGGTGTCGGTGCAAAGGTTCCTGTGACCACTGGCACGCTGCTCCAGGCACTGTTTGCTGCAGTAAGGGGTAGGGGACATGGGGAAACAGCCCCAAAGGGGTCCCCAAAATGCTGCCTCAGCCACCCCCGAGCTTGTCCTCGCTGCAGGGGACGTTTGGTCTCCAGCACCTGGCTTTGTGGGAACTCTTGTCTCTCTTTTCTGTGTCGAACTGGATGTGTGCGACGGGGGAAGCATCCCCCCAGGGCCAAAAGAGCCACCACGTCCCCTGGCCTGAGCCTGACACCAAGATGGGCCACCCAGAGCAGGAATGGGGCACCTCTGAGGGTCACTTGGTGGATTTTAGGGTGTCCATGCCCTGGTCAGGGCTGACCCCATTGGCACCAGGGGCCAGTCCTGCTCCCAACCTGCTCCAGAGCTGCCCTGGGCCCTTCCCTAAGCTGATGTCCTCTCCTGCTTTGACCGTGGGCCAGATCTGGTTGTGAAGTTAAGTAACCTCCAGGTCTGCTCTTCCACTGGAGCCCAGGAAGGGTTGGAAAAAAAGGCACATCCACAGAGCATCCTCCAAAGAGGCTCCAGGGCCCTGGCAAAGCACGGGAGGGCAAGAGGCAAACCCAAGCAGAAGACTGAGAATACAGTGTCCTGTTTGGAGGAGACATGACCATGACCTGCACCATCCAGGTGTCCTTGCAGCAACCATTGAACCCCCAGGTTAGGGCAGAGCGGTCTGTTAGCACTTGGGTGGACCAAGAGGGCAACGCTAAGCCCTGCAGGTGGCCAGGGCTGGCACGGAAAGGGGGAAGATGTGGGAATTTTGAGGTTCAAAAAGGTTGAGACCAAGAGGGTACAGCTGCTCCCTGGGGCTGTTCTGGCTAATGCTGGAGCTGGGGCCACAAGATCAAAGACTTGGCCAAGGCCGGAGCTGAGAAGACACCCGGACCCATCCTCAGAGCAGGGCAATTTCTAAGCAGCCTGTCTGGGATGGGCACGTCTCACCAGGAGAAGCCAGCACGTAGGAGCTATCCAGGAGGAGCAACGCCAGGGAAGGCCTCCTTGAGCCAATTCCACACTCAGTTATAGGATCGGGAAGAGACCTCAGGGGAAACGGCAGCTCCTCTCTTCCCCCAGGTCCTCAAGTCAAGCCTGGACACTGCCCACGGAGCAGTGCTCTCATGTCCCCACGTTAGCAGGTCAGATGTTGCCACCCGTGTCCCCACACGGTCTGGCCAGCCAGAGCTTTTGGGCTCAAACGTCAGTCGGTGACACTTACAGTCAAGCTTTTCATCTTGGAGATAAACCAGGTTTCAGGGGGAAAAAATGCATATGTATATCTCATCCAGTGCCTCCAACACTTGGCTCGTCTGGACCTACCACGTTGCATCTGTTTCCTTCAGGCTGGAAGAATTTTAATTACAATTTCTACCAAGAACAGACAAAACAGACAGCTCTAGACTCATCCTCCAACGTAGAGACAACATCAGTGCCTATGGACAAGGAAGAACATCTCACCCACAAGCAGAGAACCTCCAGTGCTCTTGAGCAACGTGGTCCTAAAAGTGCAATCACGCAGATGACGTGCTTGAGAGGAACCACCTCCCCCAGCCCACCACCTGCACTTAGGCTTGTTCTCGGGGTGACACATAGCATGAAGATGACCCACTGCATCGTCTCCAAGCCGGGCCAGAAGCTGGTGACACGGTGGCCTAGTAGGACTTGAGCCCACACGTCACTCCAACAGGCTTAGCGTTATTTATACCAAGCTGGCCGGGCAACCTTTCTCCAAGCCTGCCTTGCCTTGCTTGCTCATGGGAAAAGCAACCAGCCCCACGTCTCCAACTGGTTTTGGGGGAAGAGGGACCAACCCTGCCATCACACCAACAAAGCCAAGTGCAGTCTACGCTGAGACAAACTCATCTTGGGATGCTCCGAGCCCGTTATCCTGCTTCAGAAAGAGCCTGAAGGAGCAGCCCTGACCTCCACCGGTGGGTGGAAGCAGTAAACGCTTGCCTTGGCCACCACCCTACCCTGGAGCACCAGGACAGGGCAGGGATGCTGCAGCCAGGGGATATTTCGACTCTAGCCCTTCCCTCCTGGAGCAATTCCTGCTGCTCAGAAATGCTCCTCTGCTGCCACATCCCAGGACCACACGGGCCACACACCTTGGCCTGATTGCGGTCATGGAGTTGCTTTATGGATGGACAACAGGCTGTAGGTATTTCCCAAGGATCCTACAGGAGATGGGTGGCCCTAACCATAGGCTTTTCCCTGTCACAGGCAGGGCTCAGCCCTTTCCCTCTCCTCACACGTTTCGGGATCCAAAATCCCAGCGCAGCTCTGGAGAGCCGGAGCACAGAAATCCACGGTGAGGTTTGCTCAAGACCCACTTGTCTTAAAAAGCTGTCACCCTGCATCTCCAAGACGAATACGGTTGGCTTTGGGTTGGCTTGGCAACTG